TCAGTGGTGATTTGTGCATCCATCACTGGAGCAGTATACACTGCACAATACTTATAGTCTTTTATCCCTCGCCCCCACCCCCACTCTTCCCCTGAAGTCTCCAAAATTCATTGTATCATTCTTATGCTTTTGCATTCTCATAGCTTAGCCCCCACACATCAGTGACAACATACATTGTTTGGTTTTCCATTCCTGATTTACTTCACTTTCTACCTAGTCTCCAATCTCATCCAGGCCATTGCAAATGCTGTTAATTCATCCTTTCTATGGCTGAGTGGTATTCCATCATATACCACAGTTTATTTATCCTGTTGTTCATTGATGGTCCTTTGGGTTGGTTCCATGATTTTGCAATTGTGAATTGTGTTGCTATAAACATGCATGTGCAAGTATCTTTTTCAAATAATGACTTGGGATTGCTGGATCAAATGGTAGCTCAACTTTTAGTTATTTAAGAAATCTCCATGCTGTTTTCTACAGTGGCTGTACTATTTGACATTCCCACTAGCAGTAGGAAGTGTTCCCTGATCACCGCATCCATGCCAACATCTACCGGTTTTGTTCTTTTTTTTTTTTTTTTTTTTAGTTTCTTGATTGTGGCCATTCTTGCAGGAGTAAGGTGGTATTGCATTGTGGTTTTGAGTTGCATTTCCCTGATCATTAGTGATTTTGAGCATTTCTTTTCATTTTTGGTCACTTGTGTATCTTCTTTTGAGAATTGTCTGTGTCTTTAGCTCGCTTTTTGATGAGATTTTTTTTTTTCTTACTGATTTGTTTGAGTTTGTTATAGATTCTGGATAGTAGTCCTTTGTCAGATGTATAGATCATGAAGACTTTCTACCATTCTGTGGGTTGTCTGTTTACTATGCTGACTGCTCCTTTTGCCATGAAAAACCTCTTTAGTTTAATTAGGTCCTAGAGAGTTACCTCTGTTTTTATTGCATTTACTTTTGAGGGATGACACTAAATTTGTAGATTGCTTTTAGCAGTATGATCATTTTCACCATATTGATTCTATCCATCCTTGAGCATGGGATGTGTTTTCATTTGCTTGTGTCATCTATTATTTCTTTCAGCAGTGTTTGAAAACCCTAAGGACTCCTCCAGAGAGCTCCTAGAACTTATAAAAGAACTCAGCAAAGTTTCCAGATACAAGATTCATGGACACAAATCAGTGGCTCTCCTACACACCAACAGCAACCAAGTGGAGACTCAAATCAAGAACTCAACCCCTTTTTCAATAGCTGCAAAAAAGTACTTAGGAATATACCTAACAAAGGAGTCAAAAGACTTCTACAAGGAAGACTACAAAACACTGCTGAAAGAAATCATAGATGACACTTTAAAAGATAAAGTACATCAGCATTTCTACTGAGAATTACAGGGTTTTTACTTAGCCTCATATCTTTTTCTTACAAATCTCTTTTCTTCTTGGCCAAAAATAACAGTTCCTCGATGTAATTACTCATTTTATTTATTACATAATGCTTGCACAACAATCTGGAATAATATTGCCAATACGTACTAAAGACAACAATATAGTTATTGCAAACAAACTTGACAGGCTTTTGAAAAAACATTTTGGTCTTAGAATAGTTACTTTCTCTGAAGTTATGCTTAGATATACAGTTATATTCCATTGTTGTGGTGGTGGCTTTAGTGATTTTGAGAGATTTTAAAAATTTAATATTTTTATAAATATGTAAAATATTTACACAGGTGCAAAGTCAAAGCTACAAAAAAATATAAATTCAAAAAAAATCTAGTGTCTATTTCTATCTTCTCTATCCTATTCCCTTCACCCTCTATGAGTCAACTTCTAAAAAGCAAATATGGGCCAGGTGCGGTGGCTCTTGCCTGTGATCCCGGCACTTTGGGAGGCTGAGGAGGATAGATCATGAGGTCAGGAGTTCAAGACCAGCCTGGCCAACATGGTGAAACCTCATCTCTACTAAAAATACAAAAATTAGCCGGGCATGGTCGTGGGTGCCTGTAATCCCAACTATTTGGGAGGCTGAGGCAGAGAACTGCTTGAACCCAGAAGGTGGTTGTTGCAGTGAGCCAAGATCACTCCACTGCACTCCAGTCTGGGTGACAGAGCGAAACTCCATCTCAAAAACAAAACAAAAAAAACACAAAAACCCACAAATATGGTTTATTCTTCCATTTTTTTTCTTTGTTTTTCAGCTACATTAAGTTACAATGGCATATAATAAACTGCATATACTTAAAATGCAAATTTGATGTTTTGACAGAAGTCCCTCTTTCCTTTTTTAAAATCTCTTTTCTCTATTCTTCTATCATTTTTAAAGTGTAAGCAAATATACTTTTGATATTTATATCCTAGATTTTTCAGACATATTGTTGTAGAACATTGTACACATTATTTTCTACTGCTTTATTGTCTCTTAACAATATCTCTTGGAGATTAATTTGTAGCAGTGTATAGAGACACTCCTTATTCCTTTTGACAGCAGCTGCATAGTACTCCATCATGGAAAGGGATCACAGTTTATTCACCAGTACCCTATTGATTGAAGGACACCTGGGTTGTATCCAGTGTTGTTGTAGTTTTCACTTGTTTTTTCCCAAATAGACCTGTTACAAATCATCTCATGCAACACCTTTCATTTACTTTCCTGAGTATCTTTGAGATATTTTATGGAATTGGGATAGCCGAGTCAAAGAATAACGGTGCTAGTTATTGCCAAACCCTCACCAGAAAATATGAGCATGCCTATTTTCACATCATCTCCCTCCCAGAGAATGCCGTCAGATTTTGAATTTTTGACAATCTGACAGGTGAGAAGGGCCATACCGTATGATTTCATTTCGTTTATTATGCATGAGATTGAGTATATTTATATGGTGGTAAAATATTTACATTTTAAATATCCCATTATTCTGTTGGTCTGTTTTCTAATCTATTTTCAGAAGTCATTTTTCTTTTTCTTCTCGATTTTTGAGACAGAGTCTCACTCTGTCACCCAGGCTGAAGTGCAGTGGTGCAATCTCGGCTCGCTGCAACCTCTGCCTCCTGGGCTCAAGCGAGTCTCCTGCCCCAGCTTCCTGAGTAGCTTGGCAGATGCATACCACCTTGCCAGCTAATTTTGTTTTGTAGAGACGGGGTTTCGCCAAATTGACCAGGTTGGCCTCGAACTCCTATGCTCAAGCAATGCTCCTGCTTTGGCCTCCCAAAATGTTGGGATTACAGATGTGATTCACCGTGCCCAGTCTCAGAAGTCTTTTATGTACTATTAACCCTTTGTCTGTGATATAAATTGAGAGTCTTTTTTCAAATTTGGTCATTTGTGTTTTTACTTTGTTTATGATGGTTTCTTAACATGCATCTTTAAAATAAAAATTAAGTTCTGGGCTACATATGCAGAACATGCAGTTTTGCTTCATAGTTATACATGTGCCATGGTGGTTTGCCGCACCCATCAATCCGTCATCTAGGTTTTAAGCCCCGCATGCATTAGGCATTTGTCCCAATGCTCTCCCTCCCCTGGTCCTCAAGGCTCCGGTGTGTGATGTTCCCCTCCCTGTGTCCATGTGTTCTCATTGTTCAGCTCCACTTACAAGTGAGAACATACCATGCATCTTTTCAATTACAAACAATTGTTTTTAAATATCAGGAGGGATTTAATTGCAAAATGGGTATATGCAAATTGTTCCTCGAACACTCTAAGAGAGACATACTTTCCCTATTATAGACCATGTGACTTCAATCTATCTGGGCATCAAGTATCTTGGATGTAAAAAACACGTGTGTCTACCTCACAGAATCCTTGTGAGGTATAAACAAGATAACAATTACAGAGGACTCAGAAAATTCCTGACACATAGTAAGCACTCAACAAATTATAACTATTAGTATTGTTTCATCTTTCATTGGAAGTGTACAGATTAAATTATAATTGTTATCTTGTTCACTAATCACACAATTCTCTAAATAGTTGTTAAACTCTTTTTTATACATGTGCTTATTTGTCTTGTTTAAATGTCTATAGGACAGAAATTAAAGCTTGACCCTTTATTTCTCTGTGTATCAAGCAAAATATCTCCAACATATATTGTGAGAGAAAACAGCTTTCAAGTATGAGAAAATATACTATCAATAACACTTCAGTTAAACACATTTGTTGGGTATCTTGACTTATCAACAAAATAGAACAAAAATGTCAACTATGATCCACGTCTCTGAAGAACATGCCAATAGTAATTTATAAAGCGACCCATCATGCCAATGTGTTCTTACTTTTAAAAGCAATGAATCATTACATTATATCTGTTTCAAGCTGAATAGATTCAATAACAAAACACAAAGGAATTTCAGTGGGATCTTTTATATCACTGGCCAGCCACAAAATGCAAAGGAATCACAGTGTTCCTCATTATACGCACCTCCCATCACCCCCTAAAGATGAATCTTTCATCCGATTTTCCTACTAGCATTCCATGTAATTTATGTTTAACCTCTTTGAGAGCAGAGGAGATTTAGTTATCATAAAATCTATTCTCAACCTGTTATTCTGGAATCAAATAAATAAAGAATTAACACTTATGAAATCCAATCACACAATGTCATCTCTACACATCTGAAGACACCTCAGATGAAAGCTGATTCACTTGGTGTAACCAAATTGGATAGCTCATAATACAACAGGAAAAGGAAATGGTGCCTTTTCTATTTATAGAAACAATTACCAGATAAGCTCAACTATCTAATTTACTAAAAAAAAGAACTGATTCTCTGTTGGTAATGTGTAAACAACAAGATCATTTACATGGTCATAGTAGCCCTCAGGAGGGTATAAAAAGCAAACGAAAGAGCAAGGAGAGATCAAACTCAGAACACTCACTCTCCTGGAAACGAATCCAGAACCTCCACCCTCTGACACCATGGTCAACTCCCATTGTAGCTCTGTCTGCTCTGACCAGGGCTGTGGCCTGGAGAACTGCTGCCGTCCCAGCTGCTGCCAGACCACCTGCTGCAGGACCACCTGCTGCCGCCCCAGCTGCTGTGTGTCCAGCTGCTGCAGGCCCCAGTGCTGCCAGTCTGTGTGCTGCCAGCCCACCTGCTGCCGCCCCAGCTGCTGTCAGACCACCTGCTGCAGGACCACCTGCTGCCGCCCCAGCTGCTGCATCTCCAGTTGCTGCCGGCCCAGCTGCTGTGTGTCCAGCTGCTGCAGACCCCAGTGCTGCCAGTCTGTGTGCTGCCAGCCCACCTGCTGCCGCCCCAGCTGCTGCATCTCCAGTTGCTGCCGGCCCAGCTGTTGTGTGTCCAGCTGCTGCAGACCCCAGTGCTGCCAGTCTGTGTGCTGTCAGCCAACCTGCTGCCACCCCAGCTGCTGTCAGACCACCTGCTGCAGGACCACCTGCTGCCGCCCCAGCTGCTGCATCTCCAGCTGCTGCCCCCGCTCTTGCTGAGAATCCTGCTGCTGCCACCCCTGCTGCTGCCTGCGCCCAGTCTGTGGCCAAGTCTCCTGCCACACCACTTGCTATCGCCCAACCTGTGTCATCTCCACCTGCCCCCGCCCCATGTGCTGTGCCTCCTCTTGCTGCTAAATCTGCTTGAACACACCACTTCATTATCACCTCCTTTCCTACAGATGAAGGCTCTGCTTTAAAACATGTGGAGTGTTCAAGAGAATTGATCTGTGTCCCATAAGCAAACCTCATCCTTAGAACATCTGTATTTGCACTCTGCCTTTTGTCCAAACTCCCTGCCTTCCAGATGAATTCATTGACAGTCTCCTAATAAATCTACAAATTTCTCTCCAGCATCCCCCCACCTCTTTGACTTCAGGATATTTATTCATCATGCCTAAAGAATTTCAATATTGCCTCCATCATCTGTAGGGCCACAGATCTTAACGCCTCTGACTGCGAAGTCCAGTGAAGTCTCTTAAAGTCTTTTGCAAATATTTTCGTACCTTGTCATTTCCATGTACCAAAATAAACCTCCATTCTATTGGCACTAAAAATTGAATATGATTCTTATTCCATTTCTTATAAAGGTTTTATACTTGGGTTCTGGGTGATTATATTTTATCCACACCTGTAGTGCAGACAGCACACATTAGTCAACCTACCAACAGAGGTCAACTTACATCAATCACTGCCTAGACTTTCTAGAAAAGTCTTTTCAGGCTTAGGAAAATCAACTAGTCATTTTGTAGGCTTTAGTAAAAAGAGTGAAACTGAAGTCATGAAATATACATGAATATAACAACAGGGGAAATGTTTTGGAAAGATTGAGTACAATTCATTATCTGTAAAAAATAATTCCAACTTTTATTTTAGAATCAAAGAGTACATATTCATATTTGTTACATGTTGTGTGATGCTGAGGTTGGGGGTACAAATGATTCTGTCACCAGGTAGTGAGCAATGGGCCATTCCTAGCCCTTCCTCTCTCCCTCTCTCCCCCTTTGTGGAGTCCCCAGTCATTCCCATCTTTGTGTCCACGTGTACCCAATGCTTAGCTACCATTTGTAGTGAGAACATGCAATATTTGGTTTTCTGTTCCTGGCATAATTTGCTTAGGATACTGTCCTCCAGACACATCTATGTTGCTGCAAAAGATGTAATTTTATTCCTTTTTATGTCTGTGTAGTATTCCATGGTGTAAAAGTGTCACATGTTTTTTATCCAATGCACTGTTGATGAGCACCTAGACGGATTCCATATCTTTACTATTGTGAACAGTGCTGTGAGCTTTTAAAGTACCATCTTTCAGTTTCTTCCTTCCTTCTCCTCCCCTCCTTTCCCCACCCCTCTTTTTTCCTCCCCTCCCTTTCCCTCCCCTCCTCTCCCTTCTTCTCCCCTCCCTTCCTCTCCCTGCCCTTCCTCTCTCTTGCCTCCACCTTCCATCCTCTCCCTTCCTTTCCCCTCCCTTCCCCTCCTCAGTGTTAATCCCAAGAGCTTTAATAAACCTCCTGCAAGTTGCTCTCCATCTCAGTGTCTGCTTCCTGGGGAACCCAGGCTGTCCCCCAAAACAATTTGAAATTCATGATAGCTAATTTGAGAGCTGAAATGACAGACTGAAAGGTACTTTTAATACTTTAGTTCATGAAAGAAACAAGAAGGTAGACACCATAGCAGAAAAAATATTTAATAAACTGTAGAAAAATTATGAATTTCATACAAATCACATTTATTATTTTCTGAGGATTTTTATATCAGTTGTACACAAATATATGTGCTTCAAACATTTAGATGATACAAAACAATGCGACCAAAGGTAAGTTTCCCATCATGGTCTTTGTCAATCCCATTCAAGACCTAATGTTACAAATTGAGATACATCCCCATTAAATGCATTTGTACCACATGTATGTATTTATTTGAAAATCTGGCTTTGGTTGCACATCTCTTGTTCTGACATTTATTCAAACATTGTTTTATGTCTTCCAGAAAATGTTAACACTTTTCTTCACATAGGCTTGTCAGATTTATTTATATATTTTTCTATTTACTCTTGAGAATTGTAAGTACATTTTTCCCATTAAATTTTAGAGAGAACGATTGCTAGTGTATAAAAGTCTATAGATTAGTATAAATTCATATTTTCTCTGGTCTCATGATTAATACTAATGCCCAGATGACTCTCCAGGTGTGCAATTTTGGTGGCCAAGTGCCTCCAAACTCAGGCCTGTCCCCAGGGATTTTCCCCAGATGCCCACATTGGGGACCTATGATTAGCACAAACATTCTTGGGATTTTCTAAATTTCCTGTCTTACTTTCCCCATTTTCTCACTTGTGCTTCCTGGATCCATCACCCAAATAAATTAGGTGCACTGAAGTCTTTTTCCAAGGTTTGCTTTGGGTAGAATTCAAGCTAAGACAATAGACGTTCAGCAAACATTTTTGACTGACTGGTATCAAATGGGCAATAAGAGTTACACCAATCAATAAAAGCAAAAGTGGGAAGTCAGGAGGTGAAGGAGAACCAGTGTTACCATTTGGTGTTTACCTGCTTCCTGTCTTTTTTCTTGTGTGAATATAGGCGTGAGTGTGAAACACGGCATTCCTGGTTATTTATAAACAAGTCTCATTCTATAAATTGAATCATAACTTCCACAACTTTCCACATGTTATTTATCAGGTGACATGTTACCTATCACATAAAAAAGTGTAGTTTTTCTGAAATGAAACTATGATCTCTTTGTTTGGAATGATTTTCCCTCTCTTATCCAGAAGTCAAAAGATAGATACAATTTTAAAGGATTTACACACCTCTGTGTCATCAAAAAGCCTTCATTCACTCAGCAAACATTTACCACGAGTGTCCTCTGTGCTGAGTATCAAGGTCACAAGAATAAATGCCATAGCCCATGCCTTCAGGGTATTTGCAATGCACATGGAGGAATGACAGAAGTAAATGATTATAACAGGGTAGAATGTATCAAATTATGAGCACAAGGCAGAAAATAATGCTACATAAATGGGGTAGCTTATTAGGAAAAATATTATTGAGGAGGAAATATGTTAACTGGGTCTTGACATATAAGTAGGAGTTTGCAGAGTGGACAAAAAAGATGAAATCTTCCAGGAAGATAAAACAGTTTCAGAAGGTTTAGTAAATTTAACTCTTTATGACTTTCGTGGCTACACTAAGACATATTAGACTTGCTTTCTCTTTAATCTTGGACAAGTTTTTGTTTGTTTAACTTTTTTTTTCTTTTTTCTTTTTTTATAGCATGTTAGGTTTTGGGGTACATGTGAAGAACATGCAAGATTGTTGCATAGATCTTTTTAATGCTTCTTTTGAGTATTTCACTAAAAGAGTAATAAAAATATACACTATTTCATAAGGTTGTATTAAAGAGTAAAAATGAAACAAAAATATTTGGCATGATGCCTGGTACCTAGTCAATACTTCACAAGTAATATATACACACTGAAGCTGTATGGAACTTATCCACATACTATACGATTTTATTTTAGTGGTTTAATGAACATAATTGTAATTATTTTTATTTTTGCCAAACTCTGTTTCCTATGAGTGTGTCTTATTCAAGTACCTGCAAGAAAAAGATGAGCGCTTATCCATTCTACACCCGGAGTCCCTAGTAAAACATCTCTGATGCATGTTGTTGAAGACTTAATAATTCTGAATATTGTTTATATATAACAATTACTTTTGTAAATGAAAAATCCATCATGCAATTTTGATGATCAAAGATAAATCAGGCCGGGTGCGGTGGCTCACACCTGTGATCCCAGCACTTTGGGAGGCCGAGGCGGAAGGATCATGAGGTCAAGAGAGTGAGACTGTCCTGGCCAACCTGGTGAAAGCCCGTCTCTACTAAAATACAAAAAGTAGCTGGGCGTGGTGGCACGTGCCTGTAGTCCCAGCTACTCAGGAGACTGAGGCAGGAGAATCGCTTGAACCCAGGAAGCAGAGACTGCATTAAACTGAGATTGCGCCACTGCACTCCAGCCGGGGTGACAGAGCGAGACTCCCTCTCAAAATAAATAAATAAATCAATCAAAACTTCCTACTCTTAATGCCTATACTACAGGACATACAGCAAAATGTTTTTTTACCCTTTAAAGGCAGTGAGTCATGGGTAAGTACTTTCACTGGAGGCTGTGGAATAAGATCTGACACAGAGTTTAGAACTTCTTTGGGATCTGACCATCTCCCAGACCATCCAAGATGCACACATGGGATCAGAGTCATCCTCATTAGGACATCCTTCTCCCAAATAAATCCTTCCTTCTAATTCTTTTCCAGCGTTTCACCTGACCAAGACATTCTTTGACAACAAAAGATACATCCATATTACAAACATCATACCGCACGATTTGCAGAGAGCAATCTACAGGTAGGAGGGAGAGTCACGCTTAAAAAAAAGGCAGAGAGTCACATGACCAGCGCTTTGTAAAAGTCACTGCATAGGCCAGGGTCGAAGGTGACACTGACTAAAGAAGAAATATGACAAGCTTTTCCAATGAAAACGCAGGAGCACAGCAGGAAAAGGAAATATGTTATGTTTTCTGTTTAGAAGAATTTAACTAGAAACACACAATTATGTAATTACATGATTAAGCTTTCCAGCAGGTAAATAATAACAAGAAAATAATGACATGATGGCAATGGGCCTTCAGCAGCGTATAAAAGTGGTCGTGGGCCCAGAAGACTTCCAAACCCAAGAACTTCACTCTCCTGGAAACACACCCAGATCCTCCACCCTCTGACACTATGGTCGACTCCTGTTGTGGCTCCGTGTGTTCTGACCAGGGCTGTGGTCAAGACCTCTGCCAGGAGACCTGCTGCTCTCCCAGCTGCTGCAGGCCCCAGTGCTGCCAGTCTGTGTGCTGCCAGCCCACCTGCTGCCGCCCCAGCTGCTGTCAGACCACCTGCTGCAGGACCACCTGCTGCCGCCCCAGCTGCTGCATCTCCAGTTGCTGCCGGCCCAGCTGTTGTGTGTCCAGCTGCTGCAGACCCCAGTGCTGCCAGTCTGTGTGCTGCCAGCCCACCTGCTGCCGCCCCAGCTGCTGTCAGACCACCTGCTGCAGGACCACTTGCTGCCGCCCCAGCTGCTGCATCTCCAGTTGCTGCCGGCCCAGCTGCTGTGTGTCCAGCTGCTGCAGACCCCAGTGCTGCCAGTCTGTGTGCTGCCAGCCCACCTGCTGCCGCCCCAGCTGCTGTCAGACCACCTGCTGCAGGACCACTTGCTGCCGCCCCAGCTGCTGCATCTCCAGTTGCTGCCGGCCCAGCTGCTGTGTGTCCAGCTGCTGCAGACCCCAGTGCTGCCAGTCTGTGTGCTGCCAGCCCACCTGCTGCCGCCCCAGCTGCTGTCAGACCACCTGCTGCAGGACCACCTGCTGCCGCCCCAGCTGCTGCATCTCCAGCTGCTGCCCCTGCTCTTGCTGAGAATCAAGCTCTTGCCGCCCCTGCTGCTGCCTGCGTCCAGTCTGTGGCCAAGTCTCCTGCCACACCACTTGCTATCGCCCAACCTGTGTCATCTCCACCTGCCCCCGCCCCATGTGCTGTGCCTCCTCTTGCTGCTAAATCTGCTTTGAACACACCACTTCATTATCACCTCCTTTCCTACAGATGAAGGCTCTGCTTTAAAACATATGGAGTGTTCAAGAGAATTGATCTGTGTCCCATAAGCAAACCTCATCCTTAGAACATCTGTATTTGCACTCTGCCTTTTGTCCAAACTCCCTGCCTTCCAGATGAATTCATTGACAGTCTCCTAATAAATCTACAAATTTCTCTCCAACATTCCCCCACCTCTTTGACTTCAGGACATTTATTCGTCATGCCTACAGAATTTGAAGATTGCCTCCGTCATCTGTAGGGCCACAGATCTTAACGCCTTCAACCGCGAAGTCCAGTGAAGTCTCTTAAAGTCTTTTGCAAATATTTTTGTACCTTGTCGTTTCCATGTACCAAAATAAACCTCCATTCTATTGGCACTAAAAATTGAATATGGTTCTTATTCCATTTCTTACAAAGGTTTTATACTTGGGTTCTGGGCGATTACATTTTATCCACACCTGTAGTGCAGACAGCACACATTAGTCAACCTACCAACAGAGGTCAACTGACATCGATCACTGCCTAGACTTTCTAGAAAAGTCTTTTCAGGCTTAGGAAAATCAACTAGTCATTTTGTAGGCTTTAGTAAAAAGAGTGAAACTGAAGTCATGAAATATACATGAATATAACAACAGGGGAAATGTTTTGGAAAGATTGAGTACAATTCATTATCTGTAAAAAATAATTCCAACTTTTATTTTAGAATTAAAGAGTACATATTCATATTTGTTACATGTTGTGTGATGCTGAGGTTTGGGGTACAAATGATTCTTTCACCAGGTAGTGAGCAATGGGCCATTCTTAGCCCTTCCTCTCTCCCTCTCTCCCCCTTTTTGGAGTCCCCAATCATTCCCATCTTTGTGTCCACCTGTACCCAATGTTTAGCTACCATTTGTAGTGAGAACATGCAATATTTGGTTTTCTGTTCCTGGAATAATTTGCTTAGGATACTGTCCTCCAGACACATCCATGTTGCTGCAAAAGATGTAATTTTATTCCTTTTTATGTCTGTGTAGTATTCCATGGTGTAAAAGTGTCACATGTTTTTTATCCAATGCACTGTTGATGAGCACCTAGACGGATTCCATATCTTTACTATTGTGAACAGTGCTGTGAGCTTTTAAAGCACCATCTTTCAGTTTCTTCTTTCCTTCCCCTCCCCTCCTTTCCCCACCCCTCTTTTTTCCTCCCCTCTCTTTCCCTCCCCTCCTCTCCCTTCTTCTCCCCTCCCTTCCTCTCCCTGCCCTTCCTCTCTATTGCCCCCACCTTCCATCCTCTCCCTTCCCTTCCCCTCCCTTCCCCTCCTCAGTGTTAATCCCAAGAGCTTTAATAGACTTCCTGCAAGTTGCTCTCCATCTCAGTGTCTGCTTCCTGGGGAACCCAGGCTGTCCCCCAAAACAATTTGAAATTCATGATAGCTAATTTGAGAGCTGAAATGACAGACTGAAAGGTACTTTTAATACTTTAGTTCATGAAAGAAACAAGAAGGTCGACATCATAGCAGAAAAAATATTTAATAAACTGTAGAAAAATTATGAATTTCATACAAATCACATTTATTCTTTTATGAGGATTTTTATATCAGTTGTACACAAATATATGTGCTTTAAACATTTAGATGATACAAAACAATGCGACCAAAGGTAAGTTTCCCATCATGGTCTTTGTCAATCCCATTCAAGACCTAATGTTACAAATTGAGATACATCCCCATTAAATGCATTTGTGCCACATGTATGTATTTATTTGAAAATCTGGCTTTGGTTGCACATCTCTTGTTCTGACATTTATTCAAACATTGTTTTATGTCTTTCAGAAAATGTTAACACTTTTCTTCACATAGGCTTGTCAGATTTATTTATATATTTTTCTATTTACTCTTGAGAATTGTAAGTACATTTTTTCCCATTAAATTTTAGAGAGAACGATTGCTAGTGTATAAAAGTCTATAGATTAGCATAAATTCATATTTTCTCTGGTCTCATGATTAATACTATTGCCCAGCTGACTCTCCAGGTGTGCAATCTCGGTGGCCAAGTGCCTCCAACCTCAGGCCTGTCCCAGGGATTTTCCCCAGATGCCCACATTGGGGACCTATGATTAGCACAAACATTCTTGGGATTTTCTAAATTTCCTGTCTTACTTTCCCCATTTTCTCACTTGTGCTTCCTGGATCCATCACCCAAATATATTAGGTGCACTGAAGTCTTTTTCTCAAGGTTTGCTTTGGGTAGAATCCAAACTAAGACAATAGACGTTCAGCAAACATTTTTGACTGACTGGTATCAAATGGGCAATATGAGTTACACTAATCAATAAAAGTAAAAGTGGGAAGTCAGGAGGTGAAGGAGAACCAGTGTTACCATTTGGTGTTTACCTGCTTCCTGTCTTTCTTCCTGTGTGAATATAGGCATGAGTGTTAAACACAGCATTCCTGGTTATTTATAAACAAGTCTCATTCTATAAATTGAATCATAACTTCCACAACTTTCCACATGTTATTTATCAGGTGACATGTTACCTACCACATAAATAAGCGTAGTTTTCCTGAAATGAAACTATGATCTCTTTGTTTGGAATGTTTTCCCTCACTTATCCGGAAGTGAAAAGATAGATACAATTTTAAAGGATTTATATGCCTCTATGTCATCAGAAAGCCTTCGTTCACTCAGCAAACATTTACCACGAGTGTCCTCTGTGCTGAGTATTAAAGTAACAAGAATAAATGCCATAGCCCATTTCTTCAGGGTGTTTGCATTGCACATGGAGGAATGACAGGAGTAAATGATTATAACAGGGTAGAATGTATCAAATTTTGAGTGCAAGGCAGGAAGTAATGCTACATAAATGGGGTAGCTTATTAGGGAAAATATTATTGAAGAGGAAATATGTTAACTGGGTCTTGACACGTAAGTAGGAGTTTGCAGAGTGGACAAAATGATGAAATCTTCCAGGAAAATAAAACAGTTTTAGAAAATTTAGCAAATTTAATTCTTTATGACTTTCTTGGCTACACTAAGACGTATTAGACTTGCTTTCTCTTTAATCTTGGACAAGTTTTTGTTTGTTTAGCTTTTTTTTCTTTTTTCTTTTTTTTTAATAGCATGTTAGGTTTTGGGGTACATGTGAAGAACATGCAAGATTGTTGCATAGATCTTTTTAATGCTTCTTTTGAGTATTTCACTAAAAGAGTAAAAATATATACACTATTTCATAAGGTTGTATTAAAGATTGAAAATGAAACAAAAATATTTGGCATGATGCCTGGTACCTAGTCAATACTTCACAAGTAATATATACACACTGAAGGTGTATGGAACTTATCCACATACTATACGATTTTATTTTAGTGGTTTAATGAACATAATTGTAATTATTTTTATTTTTGCCAAACTCTGTTTCCTATGAGTGTGTCTTATTCAAGTACCTGCAAGAAAAAGATGAGCGCTTATCCATTCTACACCCGGAGTCCCTAGTAAAACATCTCTGATGCATGTTGTTGAAGACTTAATAATTCTGAATATTGTTTATATATAACAATTACTTTTGTAAATGAAAAATCCATCATGCAATTTTGATGATCAAAGATAAATCAGGCCGGGTGCGGTGGCTCACACCTGTGATCCCAGCACTTTGGGAGGCCGAGGTGAAAAGATCACGAGGTCAAGAGAGTGAGACTGTCCTGGCCAACATGGTGAAAGCCTGTCTGTACTAATAATACAAAAAGTAGCTGGGCGTGGTGGCACGTGCCTGTAGTCCCAGCTACTCAGGAGACTGAGGCAGGAGAATCGCTTGAACCCAGGAAGCAGAGACTGCATTAAGCCGAGATTGCGCCACTGCACTCCAGCCTGGGTGACAGAGCGAGACTCCCTCTCAAAATAAATAAATAAATAAATAAATAAATAAATAAATAAATTAATTAATTAAAACTTGCTACTCTTAATGCCTAAACTATAGGACATACAGAAAAATCTGTTTTTACCCTTTAAAGGCAGTGAATCTTGGGTAAGTACTTTCACTGGAGGCTGTGGAATAAGATCTGACACAGAGTTTAGAACTTCCTTGGAATCTGACCATCTCCCAGACCATTCAAGATGCACACATGGGATCAGAGTCATCCTCATTAGGACATCCTTCTCCCAAATGAATCCTTCCTTCTAATTCCTTTCCAGTGTTTCACCTGACCAAGACATTCTTTGACAACAAATTACATCCATATTACAAAAATTATACCCCATGATTTGCAGAGAGCAATCTACAGGTAGGAGGGAGAGTCATGCTTAAAAAAAAGTCAGAGAGTCACATGACCAGCGTTTTGTAAAAGACAGTGCATAGGCCAGAGTCGAAGGTGACACTCACTAAGGAAGAAATATGACAAGCTTTTCCAATGAAAACGCAGGAGCACAGCAGGAAAAGGAAATGTGTTATGTATTCTGTTTAGAAGTATTTAACTAGAAACACACAATTATGTAATTACATGATTAAGCTTTCCAGCAGGTAAATAATAACAAGAAAATAATGACGTGGTGGCAACGGGCCTTCAGCAGCCTATAAAAGTGGTCGTGGGCCCAGAAGATTTCCAAACCCAAGAACTTCACTCTCCTGGAAATCCATCCAGATCCACTAACTTCTGACACCATGGTCAACTCCTGTTGTGGCTCCGTGTGCTCTGACCAGGGCTGTGGTCAAGACCTCTGCCAGGAGACCTGCTGCCCTCCCAGCTGCTGCAGACCCCTGTGCTGCCAGTCTGTGTGCTGCCAGCCCACCTGCTGCCGCCCCAGCTGCTGTCAGACCACCTGCTGCAGGACCACCTGCTGCCGCCCCAGCTGCTGCATCTCCAGTTGCTGCCGCCCCAGCTGCTGTGTGTCCAGCTGCTGCAGACCCCAGTGCTGCCAGTCTGTGTGCTGTCAGCCCACCTGCTGCCGCCCCAGCTGCTGTCAGACCACCTGCTGCAGGACCACCTGCTGCCGCCCCAGCTGCTGCATCTCCAGTTGCTGCCGGCCCAGCTGCTGTGTGTCCAGCTGCTGCAGACCACAGTGCTGCCAGTCTGTGTGCTGTCAGCCCACCTGCTGCCGCCCCAGCTGCTGTCAGACCACCTGCTGCAGGACCACCTGCTGCCGCCCCAGCTGCTGCATCTCCAGCTGCTGCCCCGCCTCTTGCTGAGAATCCTGCTGCTGCCGTCCCTGCTGCTGCCTGTGTCCAGTCTGTGGCCAAGTCTCCTGCCACACCACTTGCTATCGCCCAACCTGTGTCATCTCCACCTGCCCCCGCCCCATGTGCTGTGCCTCCTCTTGCTGCTAAATCTGCTTGAACACACCACTTCATTATCACCTCCTTTCCTACAGATGAAGGCTCTGCTTTAAAACATGTGGAGTGTTCAAGAGAATTGATCTGTGTCCCATAAGCAAACCTCATCCTTAGGACATCTGTATTTGCACTCTGCCTTTTGTCCAAACTCCCTGCCTTCCAGATGAATTCATTGACAGTCTCCTAATAAATCTACAAATTTCTCTCCAGCATCCTCCCACATCTTTGACTTCAGGACATTTATTCATCATGCCTACAGAATTTGAAGATTGCCTCCATCATCTGTAGGGCCACAGATCTTAACGCCTTCAACCGCGAAGTCCAGTGAAGTCTCTTAAAGTCTTTTGCAAATATTTTTGTACCTTGTCGTTTCCATGTACCAAAATAAACCTCCATTCTATTGGCACTAAAAATTGAATATGATTCTTATTCCATTTCTTACAAAGGTTTTATACTTGGGTTCTGGGTGATTACATTTTATCCACACCTGTAGTACAGACAGCACACATTAGTCAACCTACCAACAGAGGTCAACTGACATCGATCAATGCCTAGACTTTCTAGAAAAGTCTTTGCAGGCTTAGGCAAATCAACTAGTCATTTTGTAAGCTTTATATAAAAAGAGTGAAACTGAAGTCATCCAATATACATGAATATAACAATAAGGGAAATGTTTTGGAAAGATTGAATACAATTCACTATTTTAAAAAAATAATTTCAACTTTTATTTTAGAATCAAAGAGTACATATTCATATTTGTTACATGTTGTGTGATGCTGAGGTTTGGGGTACAAATGATTCTGTCACCAGGTAGTGAGCAATGGGCCATTCCTAGCCCTTCCTCTCTCCCTCTCTCCCCCTTTTTGGAGTCCCCAATCATTCCCATCTTTGTGTCCTCGTGTACCCAATGTTTAGCTACCATTTGTAGTGAGAACATGCAATATTTGGTTTTCTGTTCCTGGAATAATTTGCTTAGGATACTGTCCTCCAGACACATCCATGTTGCTGCAAAAGATGTAATTTTATTCCTTTTTATGTCTGTGTAGTATTCCATGGTGTAAAAGTGTCACATGTTTTTTATCCAATGCACTGTTGATGAGCACCTAGACGGATTCCATATCTTTACTATTGTGAACAGTGCTGTGAGGTTTTAAAGTACCATCTTTCAGTTTCTTCCTTCCTTCCCCTCTCCTCCCTAACCCTCCCATCCCTTTCCCTCCCTTTCCTTCCCCTCCCTTCCTCTCCCCTCTTCTCCCCTCCCTTCCTCTCCCTGCCCTTCCTCTCTCTTACCCCCACCTTCCATCCTCTCCCTTCCCTTCCCCTCCCTTCACCCACCTCAGTGTTAATCCCAAGAGCTTTAATAAACCTCCTGCATGTGGCTCTCCTTCTCAGTGTCTGCTTCCTGGGGAACTCAGGCTGTCCCCCAAAACAATTTGAAATTCATGATAGCTAATTTGAGAGCTGAAATGACAGACTGAAAGGTACTTTTAATATTTTAGTTCATGAAAGAAACAAAAAGGTAGACACCATAGTAGAAAAAATATTTAACAGACAGTAGAAAAATTATGAATTTTACATGAATCACATTTATTCTCTTCTGAGGATTTCATATCATTTGTACACAAATATATGTGCTTTAAACATTTAGATGATACAAAACAATGCGACCAAAGGTAAGTTTCCCATCATGGTCTTTGCCAATCCCATTCAAGACCTAATGTTACAAATTGAGATACATCCCCATTAAATGCATTTGTACCACATGTATGTATTTATTTGAAAACCTGGCTTTGGTTACACAACTCCTATTCTGACATTTACTCAAACATTGTTTTATGTCTTTCAGAAAATGTTAACACTTTTCTTCACATAGGCTTGTCAGATTTATTTATGTATTTTTCTATTTACTCTTGAGAATTGCGAGTACATTTTTTCACATTAAATTTTAGAGAGAATGATTGCTAGTGTATAAAAGTCTATAGATTAGTATAAATTCATATTTTCTCTGGTCTCATTATTACTACTAATGCCCATCTGACTCTCCAGGTGTGCAATCTTGCTGGCCAAGTTCCTCCAGCTTCAGGCTTGTCCCAAGGTTTTATCCCCAGATGCCCACATTGGGGACCTATCATTAGCACAAACATTCTTGGGATTTTCTAAATTTCCTGTCTTACTTTCCCCATTTTCTCACTTGTGCTTCCTGGATCCATCACCCAAATAAATTAGGTGCACTGAAGTCTTTTTCCAAGGTTTGCTTTGGGTAGAATTCAAGCTAAGACAATAGATGTTCAGCAAACATTTTTGACTGACTGGTATCAAATGGGCAATAAGAGTTACACCAATCAATAAAAGTAAAAGTGGGAAGTCAGGAGGTGAAGGAGAACCAGTGTTACCATTTGGTGTGTACCTGCTTCCTGTCTTTTTTCCTGTGTGAATATAGACATGAATGTTAAACACTGCATTCCTGGTTATTTATAAACAAGTTTCATTCTATAAATTGAATCATAACTTCCACAACTTTCCACGTTATTTATCAGGTGACATGTTACCTACCACATAAAAAAGTGTAGTTTTCCTGAAATGAAACTATGATCTCTTTGTTTGGAATGTTTTCCTTCACTTATCCCGAAGTCAAAAGATAGATACAATTTTAAAGGATTTACACACCTCTGTGTCATCAAAAAGCCTTCATTCATTCAACAAACATTTATCACGAGTGTCCTCTGTGCTGAGTATCAAGGTAACAAGAATAAATGCTATAGCCCACGCCTTCAGGGCATTTGCATTGCACATGGAGGAATGACAGAAGTAAATGATTATAACAGGGTAGAATGTACCAAATTATGAGCGCAAGGCAGAAAATAATGATACATAAATGGGGTAGCTTATTAGGGAAAATATTATTGAAGAGGAAATGTGTTAACTGGGTCTTGACACGTGAGTAGGAGTTTGCAGAGTGGACAAAAAAGATGAAATCTTCCAGGAAGATAAAACAGTTTCAGAAAGTTTAGCAAATTTAATTCTTTATGGCTTTCTTGGCTACACTAAGATATCTTAGGCTTGCTTTCTCTTTAATCTTGGACAAGTTTTTGTTTGTTTAATGTTTTAGTGTTCTTTTGAGTATTGCAGTAAAAGAGTAATAAAAATATACACTATTTCATAAGGTTGTATTAAAGAGTGAAAATGAAACAAAAATATCCACAATGCCTGGTACATAGTCAATACTTCACAAGTAATATATACACACTGAAGGTGTATGGAACTTATCCACATAATATACAATTTTATTTTAGTGGTTTAATGAAAATAATTGTAATTATTTTTATTTTTGCCAAACTCTGTTTCCTATGAGTGTGTCTTATTCAAGTACCTGCAAGAAAAAGATGAGGGCTTATCCATTCTACACCCGGAGTCCCTAGTAAAACATCTTTGATGCATGTTGTTGAAGACTTAATAATTCTGAATATTATTTATATATAACAATTATTTTTGTAAATAAAAAATCCATCATGCAATTTTGATGATCAAAGACAAATCAGGCTGGGTGGGGTGGCTCACGCCTGTGATCTCAGCACTTTGGAAGGCTGAGGTGAAAAGATCACGAGGTCAAGAGATTGAGACTGTCCTGGCCGACATGGTGAAACCCCGTCTCTACTAAAAATACAAAATCTAGCTGGGCATGGTGGCATGTGCCTGTAGTTCCAGCTACTCAGGAGACTGAGGCAGGAGAATCTCTTGAACCCAGGAGGCAGAGAGTGCATTAAGCCGAGATTGTGCCACTGCACTCCAGCCTGGGTGACAGAGCGAGACTCCATCTCAAAAATAAATAAATAAATAAATCAAAACTTGCTACTCTTAACGCCTATACTATAGGACATACAGCAAAATATTTTTTTACCCTTTAAAGGCAGTGAGTCATGGGTAAGTACTTTCACTGGAGGCTGTGGAATAAGATCTGACACAGAGTTTAGAACTTCCTTGGGATCTGACCATCTCTCAGACCATCCAAGATGCACACATGGGATCAGAGTCATCCTCATTAGGACATCCTTCTCCCAAATGAATCCTTCCTTCTAATTCCTTTCCAGTGTTTCACCTGACCAAGACATTCTTTGACAACAAAAGATACATCCATGTTACAAACATCATACCCCATGATTTGCAGAGAGCAATCTACAGGTAGGAGGGAGAGTCACACTTAAAAATAAATCAGAGAGTCACGTGACCAGCGCTTTGTAAAAGTCACTGCATAGGCCAGGGATGGAGGTGACACTGACTAAGGAAGAAATATGACAAGCTTTCCAACGAAAATGCAGGAGCACAGCAGGAAAAGGAAATGTGTTATGTTTTCTGTTTAGAAGCATTTAACTAGAAACACACAATTATGTAATTACATAATTAAGCTTTCCATCAGGTAAATAATAACAAGAAAATAATGACGTTGTGGCAACGGGTCTTCAGCAGGGTATAAAAGAGGTCATGGGCCCAGAAGACTTCCAAACCCAAGAACTTCACTCTCCTGGAAACCCACCCAGATCCTCCAACTTCTGACACCATGGTCGACTCCTGTTGTGGCTCCGTGTGTTCTGACCAGGGCTGTGGCCAAGACCTCTGCCAGGAGACCTGCTGCCCTCCCAGCTGCTGCAGGCCCCAGTGCTGCCAGTCTGTGTGCTGCCAGCCCACCTGCTGCCGCCCCAGCTGCTGTCAGACCACCTGCTGCAGGACCACTTGCTGCCGCCCCAGCTGCTGCATCTCCAGTTGCTGCCGGCCCAGCTGCTGTGTGTCCAGCTGCTGCAGGCCCCAGTGCTGCCAGTCTGTGTGCTGCGAGCCCACCTGCTGCCGCCCCAGCTGCTGTCAGACCACCTGCTGCAGGACCACCTGCTGCCGCCCCAGCTGCTGCATCTCCAGCTGCTGCCGTCCCTCTTGCTGTGAATCCAGCTGCTGCCGCCCCTGCTGCTGCCTGCGTCCAGTCTGTGGCCAAGTCTCCTGCCACACCACTTGCTATCGCCCAACCTGTGTCATCTCCACCTGCCCCCGCCCCATGTGCTGTGCCTCCTCTTGCTGCTGAGCCCACTTGCCCTGGCTCACCTCTCCCTTCCCTGCTGGCCCACAGATATAGACCCTTCTTCTGTGCTGACCGTTAGGATGCAGTGAGTGGTATTGATGTAATTCCACAGGGTAGACCTCATGTTTCCAATGAGCCCATCAGCATGCCGCTGACTCTGTGAGAACATTCTGGTTCATTTTAAACTCCCTCCCTTGCTTTCTTTTTCTTCCAGTGATGGCACCAAATAGGAATTAATTTGTAATCCACTAGCTAAGAAATTATTCCGATCCTGTAAAGTATTCATTCTCTTTATCATTTTGAGCCTATAGATTGTCCTTCCCAATGCGGTAGACATTATTTCCCTTTCAAAAATATTTGTCTATCAGCCTTTCAGTCATTCTTTTCTCTTATAAAGATAGGAGGCTGCCCGTCCCATGCTCTCCTGCTTTCTCCCTGCTCTCCCATCCTCTCTCTGAACAGGTTTGCCAGACTTTTTCTGTTTTATTAGTTCTTTATCTTTATTGTGTTCACAAAGTAGATTTTATTAAACTTTTCATTTAGAAATCTTTTATTATTGTTTGTCGTATTTTTTGTGATTATATGCATTGAGTTTACTGATTCATTGAGGTCAGATGGGAATGCAGTGCAAGGGGAATCTCAAAGCATGACTCCAAAGTAAGACTTCAGGTATAAACTCATAGTGCCAAACTGCTCCCATGTCACAGATAAACTAAAATAAGATAGAAGCTTTTCATTGTTTCAGTTGATAAGCAGAATGGTTTGGGATAGATAAAGCCCCCGTATCTTAGTTTATAAGTTCATTCCTGATTTTAGAACTTACCATATCATGGTAATACTCCTCACCCTTCTGTGTCAAATTTTAAAAGTGCATCTCATCCCACTGCATTGCATCTTGATTCAAATCAGTTAAGGCAGACTCCAAATGTCATACAAGGGAATTTTGTTATTTTGTTAGTGGACCAGTTCGGGTTCTTGAATTTGCTGCACAAAAGAATTTTAGAGCAAATCCAAAGTAAGAATAAGTAAAGAAGTTCATTGCAAAGCACAAGTACGCTCTGAGAGGCAGAGTTCACAAGGAGAGGCAGCAGCTAGTGCTGTAAGATGAACTCCTTTTATGGGAGCTATACATACATAATGATAAAATACCAGTGAGGTCATGTATGCAAAGGCAGACCTGCAGTTGGCACATGTGCCCAGGATTCTCATGGTCTAACACCCCTTGTATGTATCATTAACATACAAAATCTCCATCTAGGGGTGTTTTTCTTCTTGTTGTTCTTTTTACCATTAAAGTGAGGAAAATATTACTATAAGCTGAACCTTGAGCCTAGCTGTGTATGCAGGATCCCAGAGAAGTCCCTGGCCACCTTCCCACCCACCCCACCCCATCTCAGGAAGGAACTTGTAGCTAATAGTTTCTTGGGCTTTTGGTGCAAATTGGCTAGAGATTTGGGAAGCTACATCAGGAATAAAGGGCTTTTGTTCCTCGGCTGTCCTAGGTATCAGGAACTTGTAACTCTCCGGTGGTCTGCTGGTATTCTGTAGGATCCCTTATCTTGCAAAGGAGTTAGGTGCTGATGTACAAAGGTGCAAGCGAAAAGAGCCTGCTCTGAAAAGTGCCTGCTGGGCTTCACACAGGGGACAAGTCAGTATGGCCTTGTGAAAATTTGAGACAGGTCTCAGTTAATTCAGAAAGTTTATGTTGCCAAGGTTGAGGATGCACACCTGTGACACAGCCTCAGGAGGTCCTGACAACATGTGCCCAAAGTGGTCAGAGCACAGCTTGGTTTTACACATTTTAGGGAGATATAAGACATCAATCAACATATGTGAGATGAACATTGGTTCAGTCTGGAAAAGAGAGGATAACTGTAAGCAAAGACGGGACAACTCTAAGCGAGGAGGGGACTTCCAGGTCATAGGTAGATAAGAGACAGTTGGTTGCGTTCTTTAGAGTTTCTGATTAGTCTTTCCAAAGGTGGCACTCAGGTATGCATTTATCTCAGGAGCAGAGGGATGATTGAATAGAATGGGAGATAGGTTGGCTCAAAGAAGTTTTCAGCCTGACTTTTCCCTTTAGCTTAGTGTTTTCAGCCCCAGAGTTTATTTACCTTTCACATTTCTCCCCTTTTCTTCTTTTTCTTTTTCCTTTTTCCTTTTTTGAGACAGAGTCTTGCTCTGTTGCCAATCTGGAGTGCAGTGGCCCAGTCTCAGCTCACTGCAACCTCCGTCTCCTGGGTTCAAGTGATTCTCCTGCCTCAGCGTCCCAAGTAGCTGAAATTACACGCATGTGTCACCACACCTGTCTAATTCTTGTATTTTTAGAAGAGGCGGGGTTTCGCCATGTTGGCCAGGCTTTTCTTGAACTTCTGACCTCAGGTGATCTGCCCGCCTCGGCCTCCCAAAGTGCTGGGATTACAGGCATGAGCCACTGTGTCTGGCCTCCCCTTTTTTTCTTAAAAATCTTTTGGAGAAAGCATTTTAGAAGAAAATTAGTCTCTGGTCTCAAGCTTCTTCTGATATCTCATGGCTAGGATTGTTTATTCCTAGAAGGTAGGTCCTGAGTTATTAGGAAAGTTCATTTTTAGCAGTTTGTGAAGTTTCATGCTCTATGAAGAGAAAATAGGGGGGAGGAAGGGAAAACAACAAAAGTAAACAAAAGAACAATCCTGGAAGATCAATATAGGCCACATTACTCTGAAGCCCATACATCAGCAGGCAGGTATGAATGTGGCGTATGTATGTAAATAGACTGCTGATATTTTCTTCTGAGGTTTAAATTGTCTAGCTTCAGCTCGCAGCGCTTTGCAAAAGCACAACTGAGTTTTCAGGGACTCCAACTTAGGAAAAATTGGGGAAAGAAGAAGGAAAAAAAACTGAAAACAATCTTTCGAAGACTTGTAACCAAGAAAAATTAGAATTCAGTCCAAACTGTAGAAAATAGTGAAAATTAAAAAACATTAGGCAAGACTAGAATCTAACAACGGGTGTACTATCATTTTTTGAAACATAATTCTTCTCTCTCCAGTTTCCTATTTTTACTAAAGAAAAATCATAGCAGGACTTATTTGCTGTATTATATTTGGCCTGGTTATTTGTATACAGTGCAACAATAGTAATAACTTTTTTTTTTTCTTGCATAAGCTCTTAAATTGGCTTTGATGGAAGTGAAGCAGGATGTTTCCCTGATCCCTTTGTGAGACTTGTGACAGAGGTGCCTCGTTTATTCAGCCTAACACTCTCAGCTCCTTGCAGGAGGGAGCATGAAAGTGAATGAGGCGGGAACTGGAGTGCATGAATGCTGGAACCGGCATTTAGAGCTAGTGGGATCAACTCCACTCACTCAGACTTGCAACAGTCCCCGCTCTTGGGAGGAAGCATGCATATGAATGGGTACAGGAGCCTGAGTGAGTGCTTTTGGGCGCTGGCAGGAGCAAACTCTGTGCGGGCCCCACAGCAGCATCTAGGTGGGGGTGCCTTCGACCCCCATAGCCCCAGAGGGCATGTTACAGTACTCTTTTAACTCTGCCATCCATGGATGGCTTAAGTGTTAACAGCTCAGTGAGCCCTCTGCCTTTTCACATCAGGCAGCTACCCACCACCAGCAAGGGCAGAGGGCCAGTATGACAGCCTTTTGTATTTGGTCTCCTGGCTCCCAAGCTCTTGTCCGGTGTCCAGGAAAAATGAGGCCACACAAACCTATTGAAGAATGGTAAATGTGGGGGATTTTGTTGCCGATGAAGGTGACTCTCAGCAGGAAGGGGAGCTGAAAAGGGATAGGGTGGGTAGGTAATCTTCCCCAAAGTTAGGCTATATCTAGCCAGATTCTTCTCTGAAGTTATGTCATCAAGCTGTCCCTGTGAAGTCAAGCCACTTCTCTGTGATGTCCATCCAGCTGTAGTCCCTGATATTCAGCTGCTTCTTGCCTCTGCCAGATGAGTCTGGGATCTTTATAGGCACAGGATGGGGCAGGAGCAGGCCATTAGCAGTTTAAGAAAAGGCAACCTTCGAACAGGAAAACAGGAATACAAGTTCTCACTTTGGGCCGCAGTTTCAGGCTTTTCAGCTTGAAGGTGGGGTTTTCTCAGGGACCTACTCTTTTCTGCCTAGAATTCCCCTGCCCCTTGTCCCTGTCAGAACTTTGTTCCGTAGAAGGAATCTCAGGTAAGACTTTTGAAAAGCTGAGCACAGTCATGGATTTGTACCATCAAATATCTATGAGTTGGGTGAATTCCTCTCATCTTGAGGTTCCAAGATAAATGTGGGGCTCATGGATCTGTTAGAAAGTGACATGCTTTACTTACCATAGATCAGGAACCCTGTACAGGGACTGTGTAGACAAGGTATGAAGCCAGTTTTCCCAAGGGGATTTTATTGGTTCCATAAGTCAAGTTTGATTCCTTAGAGAAGAGCATGTCATTCCAGTCAAAGCCTTGGTAAAATGACCAATTTCTCCAACTGTGTTCTGTTACAAATAAAACCAAATTCTTATTGCTGTTATGCAAATAACTGTATTGCCACAAGTTAAGAATACTCACAAATAGTTTCCAATTCTGGAGAAAATCAGGTAGAAAGAAACAAATATGCTTCAAATTTTGTTTATAGGAGTATACTAACCTGTTAAAAGCTGTCAGTAGCTCAAAAGAAAAGTTTCCTTGACTGAAAAAACAAAACAGGATCAGCAATGTTTTAAGCAAAAAGTCAAAAAGATTTCTTCAGTCTTCTATTAGTTCAGTTCATGTGGTTAATTCCTGTTTTGCTTGATATTCATGAACATTTCAGCTCTCCATGAGTCCTAAAAGTTTTTCCTCCATTCTGATGTCACAATCTCCAAAGTTATCAGAAACCTACATTATGGAACACCTGCTGGAGTTTCATAGCTGATTATAAAACCATCTTCTAAAGAGGACCAAAACAAGGCAACAATTGTCCATGGGTGACAAAAAGTTTTAGGGCAGCCATAGTCAAAAACACACTTGACAAAAAAATTTGTTACTACTATGGTACAGAATAATTTAACATAATAATTATAATTATTACTGAGAATGTACACTATGTCATATTAGAATTATAGGAGTTCCCCATAATTTTGGAGTACATATCAATACAGCCCAAAGAAAACCAAACACCATTTTATATATGCTTCCTGTATAATTTTCATACCAAATAAGTCAAATTATGTCATTTTTGGAGTCTAGGGAAACTAATATCTTAAAGAATTAATTAGATAGGGAAAATACATACTTTGTAATTTGATTTAGAAAGTTTGTCAAATATTAAAGATTTAAAAACACATGATATGACAGGTCACTACAAAATAAGTCAATTTTTGAAACACTAAGTCCTAATAAAGCAACATGAAGCCAATTAAATTTGTTTTTCAAAATGTTATAAATAATCTATAAAATTTTAATCTTGACCATAAAATATAACTTCCATAAGCCTTTTACAACCTTTATAACCTTTATTAAGGGGTCGGTTAACATTTCAAGAAAACCTTGTTAATCTGACACAGGAGCCCATACACTGTTCTTGCATCAGTGTGCCTTTGGGGGGAAATGGGGAAGGGGCGGGGGGGTGGGGAGGCGGGAAGAGATAGCATGGGAAGAAATGACAGATACAGGTGAGGGGACGGAAGGCAGCAAACCACACTGCCATGTGTGTACCTATGCAACAATCTTGCATGTTCATCACATGTACCCCAAAACCTAAAATGCAATAAAAAAAATGCAAACAAAAATGCATACTGGCATTTCTTAAGACATTTCTAATATTACTTTGCCAATATTTTTAAAGCTAGCTTATTTATTAAAGATTTTACTTAAGTTACATAAATTTGATTGGTTCAATAGCTTAGGGTCACTTCAAAGCTGATCATAGGCAAATAAAAGTAAAAACATCAAGAGCAGGTGCTCCCACTAGAATACTATGTTAATAATCACTTATGGTAATCTTTCAGATTCAAATGAAGGAACCACTCTTGGAGATTCTAATTAGGATATGCACCCCAGATGAGAATTACTCAAAGCTATGAACTAATTCCAATAAAATAATTCTTAAAAAGAAAAGTGAGCCTTGACATTTTCAGCCTTGCTGGGTTTATATATATTAAAATGTTAAGTGTGGAGGTGTTTGAATTGTAAGGTAAACCCTTAGAGCCCACAGTCAGAAATACACCACACTATCCAGATGAAATACAGCTCAATATGTATTTTTTCTCATATGCTAAACTCGTTTAGAAATAAAAACCACTTTTTGATTATAAATTCCCAAATGTTATTTATTGAGTGAAATGAATCGAGTACATTAAATTCTTTATAGAAGATTTCTCTTCTTTCATTGATGTCTGCTTTTCAGAAATTGGGTTTTATCCTTTTTGTCAAAATATGGACAACAGTATTATGAGATATAATATGTTAAAGATAAATGTGTTTCAAGAGCCAAGGCATGAATTAAATCTGTCCTAATTTAGGATATTAAGAACATGTGCACACACACACACACCACTTTTATTCTATTGCCTTAAATTATCTATATTTGAAATAGCATATATCTTCAAAGTGATTTCAATATGAGTTGCTCTTCCTGTGTCTTTGTGTAAAATATAATTGCCTAGGGAATCAGTAAAATGATATGAAAGCAATAGAGGATGATACCAATGAATTCTTATGTGCAGAAAAGTTTATTAGAAAGCAGAGATGCAACAAAACATAAGAAAGTCACACTCACAGGAAAACAATATAACTGGACGCCTGGGTCTGAGCGTGCAACATCAGTGAAAATACTGGTCCTGCAGGTAATGTCTACCTCACTGAGAAGGAGAATCTATAGCCTCAAAGTGATAAAGAATATGAAGAATTTAGAGGATCGGAATAATTTCACAGCTAGTGGATTACAATTAATTTGTACTTGTTGCCACCACTGGAAGAAAAGAAAGCAGGGGAGGGAGTTTAAAATGAACCAGAATGTTCTCAGGGAATTAGTGAAATGGTTATGGGCTCATTGGAAACATGAAGTCCATCCTATTGAATGACATTAATCCCACTCCATGTGTCCTAATGGTCAGCACAGAAGAAGGGTCTACATCTGTGGGCCAGCAGTGAAGGGAGAGGTGAGTCAGGGCTCAGCAGCAAGAGGAGGCACAGCACATGGGGCGGGGGCAGGTGGAGATGACACAGGTTGGACGATAGCAAGTGGTGTGGCAGGAGACTTGGCCACAGACTGGACGCAGGCAGCAGCAGGGGCGGCAGCAGCTGGATTCACAGCAAGAGGGGCGGCAGCAGCTGGGTCGGCAGCAGGTGGGCTGGCAGCAGCTGGATTCACAGCAAGAGGGGCGGCAGCAGCTGGGCTGGCAACAGCTGGAGATGCAGCAGCTGGGGCGGCAGCAGGTGGTCCTGCAGCAGGTGGTCTGACAGCAGCTGGGGCGGCAGCAGGTGGGCTGGCAGCACACAGACTGGCAGCACTGAGGTCTGCAGCAGCTGGACACACAGCAGCTGGGCCGGCAGCAACTGGAGATGCAGCAGCTGGGGCGGCAGCAGGTGGTCCTGCAGCAGGTGGTCTGACAGCAGCTGGGGCGGCAGCAGGTGGGCTGGCAACAGCTGGAGATGCAGCAGCTGGGGCGGCAGCAGGTGGTCCTGCAGCAGGTGGTCTGACAGCAGCTGGGGCGGCAGCAGGTGGGCTGGCAGCACACAGACTGGCAGCACTGAGGTCTGCAGCAGCTGGACACACAGCAGCTGGGCCGGCAGCAGGTGGTCCTGCAGCAGGTGGTCTGACAGCAGCTGGGGCGGCAGCAGGTGGGCTGGCAGCATACAGACTGGCAGCACTGGGGCCTGCAGCAGCTGGACACACAGCAGCTGGGGCGGCAGCAGGTGGGTTGGCAGCACACAGACTGGCAGCACTGGGGTCTGCAGCAGCTCGACACACAGCAGCTGGGCCGGCAGCAGGTGGTCCTGCAGCAGGTGGTCTGACAGCAGCTGGGGCGGCAGCAGGTGGGCTGGCAGCACACAGACTGGCAGCACTGGGGCCTGCAGCAGCTGGGAGGGCAGCAGGTCTCCTGGCAGAGGTCTTGGCCACAGCCCTGGTCAGAACACACGGAGCCACAACAAGAGTTGACCATGGTGTCAGAAGTTGGAGGATCTGGGTGGGTTTCCAGGAGAGTGAAGTTCTTGGGTTTGGAAGTCTTCTGGGCCCATGACCCCTTTTATACCCTGCTGAAGGCCCGTTGTCACCACGTCATTATTTTCTTGTTATTATTTACCTGCTGGAAAGCTTAATCATGTAATTACATAATTGTGTGTTTCTAGTTAAATACTTCTAAACAGAATACATAAGACATTTCCTTTTCCTGCTGTGCTCCTGTGTTTCCATTGGAAACACTAATCATATTTCTTGGTCAGTGGGGTCACCTTTTGTATTTTACAAAGCACTGGTCACATGACTCTCACATCTTGTTTTTACATGTGACTCTCCCTCCTACCTGTAGATTGCTCTCTGCAAATCATGTGGGGCAATTTTTAAAATGTGAATATATCTTTTGCTATCAAAGAACGTCCTGGTGAGATGAAATGCTGGAAAGGAATGAGAAGGAAGGATTCATTTGGGAGAATGATGTCCCATCCATAATGAGGATGACTCTGATCCCATATGTGCTTCTTGGATGGTCTGGGAGATGGTCTGGGAAATGGTCAGATCCTAAGGAAGTCCTAAACTCTGTCAGATCTTATTACATCACTTTAAGTGAAAGTACATAGCTATGACTCATTGCTTTAAAGAGTAAAACCACATTTTTCTGTATGTCTTACAGTATAGGCATTAAGAGTAGGAAGTTTTGATTTAGCAAAACTTCTTTGATCATCAAAATTGCATGTAAACAATATTTGAAGTTATTAAGCCTTCAATAATATTCATCTGAGATATTCTATTGGACACTCTGGGTGTAGAACAGACAAACCCTCATCATTTTCCTGCAAGTACTTGTATAAGACACAGGCGAAGGAAACAGAATTTGGCAAAAATGAAAAAAAAAAAAAAACAATTATTTTTCTTAGATAACTAAAATCAAAATGTATAGTATATCGATAAGTTCCATACATCCTCAGCGTATGTATATTACTTGTGAAGTATTGTCTGTGTACTAGGCATTGTGCCAAATATCTTATATTTATTTCATTTTCACTCTTTAATACAACTTTATGAGGTAGGGTACATTCTTATTATTCTTTTAGCAGAATAAATGCTTCTCAAAAGAAGCATTGCAAAGCTAAAACAAACAAAAAGACTTGTCCAAGATTAGAAAGAAGGTAAGCCTAATATGTCTTAGTGTAGCTAAGAAAGGGGTAGAAAATAAAATTTGCAAGGCTTGCTGAAGCTGTTTCATCTTCTTGGAATGTTTCTTCTTTTTTGTCCACTCTGCAAACTCCTACTCCTGTCAAAACCCAGTTAAAACATTTCCTCCTCAGTAATACCTTTCCTGATAAGCTACCCCATTCATATATTATCATTATTTCCTGTCTTGTGCTCATAATTTGACACATTCTAGTCTATTTATAATCATTTACTTCTGACATTCCTCCATGTGCGATGCAAATAGCCTGAAGGCATGGGCTATGGCATTTATTCTTGTTATCATGATACTTAGCACGGAGGACACTGGTTGTAAATGTTTGTTGAGTGAATGAAGCCTTTTTGGTGACATAGAAGAATGTAGGGTCCTTTCAAAATGTATACATCTTTTGATTTCCAAACAAAGAGATCAGAGTTTCCTTTCCAGAAAACAAATTTTTTATATGGTCAGTAACATGTCCCCAATAAATAACATATGTGGAAAGTTGTGGAAGTTAGGATTCCGTTTATAGAATGAGACATGTTTATAGACAACCAGGAATACTGTCATCCCATTGTGGAAGGGAAAAGAGAGGGTGAGACAGAGAAAAAGGGAGCCAAACTCATCCTTTCATAAGGAACCCACTCTCGTGATAACAACATTAATCCACTCATAAGGGTGGCATCACCATGACCCAAATATCTCCTGTGAGCGCCCCCCCAACAACACTGCTTGGGAATCAAGTTTCCAGCACATGACCTTTGAGGCACACATTCAAACCATTGCATTCCCCCCTTGGCCCCCAAATCCATGTCCTTCTCATATGCAAAATCTATTCAGTAGTCCCAAAGTCTTAACTTGTTCCAGCATCAGCTTAAAAGTCAAAATGTAAATCTAATAGTCTCATCTAAATCTGATATGAGTGAAACTCAAACCAGGACTTATCCTGAGGAAAATTCTCCTCCATACGTGAACCTATGAAAGAATTTACCTAGTTCCAAAATACAACGGCGGGACAGGCATAGGACAGACATAGCTATTTCAAAAGGGAGCAACAGGAAAGAAAAAAGGATAACTGGCCCCCGATGAGTCCAAGAGGGAAAACAGTATTAAATCTTAAGACTGCAGAATAACATTTGACTCCGTGTGCTGTCTCTTGGACACGCCTGCCATGGGGCACGGCTGCCTGGAGGTCTTGGTGTTAGACCCCAAAAGCCCTCAGACAGCCCTGCTCCACAACTTTGCTGGGCTCAGTCCATGCAGCAGCTTTCTGATTGGTGTCTCTGCCGGTAGCTCTCAGGCTAGTATCGCAGGCTGATAGTTCTACAGTTCTAGGGTCTCAGTGGCTGCTCTGACCCCTAGTTTCCCTGAGCATGGTCCTAGGAGAAGCTCTCTGCAGTGGCTACACCCCTGTGGCAGGTGTCAGAAACATCCTTTGATACCTAGGTGGAGAGCACCATGCTCCCACGACTTCCGTAGTCTGTGTATCTAGTCAGGACTACGTGAATGCCACCAAGACTCACAGTTTGTGCCCTCTGCAATGGCAGCACAAGTCTCGTCTAAGCCCACTTTAGCCACCACTGGAGCAGCCAAGGGCATTGTGGTAGAAAGCGGAGAGTACCAAGCCCTTTCTGACCTCAAGATTCTCATATTTGGAGCCTGTGATGGGAGGGACAGCTTCAAAGATCTCTGAAATGCCTTCAGAGTTATTCTCCCATTGATTCGATGAACGGCACCTAGCTTCCTTCTATTCATATCAATCCTTATATCAAAGCATCACTTGGCCACATCCTTGCATGCTTTTTCATTCTTTATATGGCCAGGCTGCACATTTTCTGCATCTTTATGTTCTGTTTCCCTTTTAATTATGAATTCCATCTTCAAATCATTTTTTCCTCTTGTATTTTACTGTATGCAGTTCAAAGATGTCATACAGCTCCTTCAACATTTTTCTTAGAAATTTCTTTTCCCCGCCGGGCGCAGTGGCTCAAGCCTGTAATCCCAGCACTTTAGGAGGCCGAGGCGGGTGGATCACGAGGTCGAGAGTTCGAGACCATCCTGGTCGACATGGTGAAACCCTGTCTCTACTAAAAATACAAAAAATCAGCTGGGCATGGTGGCGTGTGCCTGTAATCCCAGCTACTCAGGAGGCTGAGGCAGGAGAATTGCCTGAACCCAGGAGGTGGAGGTTGCGGTGAGCCGAGATCGCGCCATTACACTCCAGCCTGGGTAACAAGAGCAAAACTCTGTCTCAAAAAAAAAAAAAAAAAAAAAGAAAGAAATTTCTTTTCCCCATATACTGGTTCATCTTTCTTGAACTCTGCTTTCCATAAAGCCCTCGAACATGAGCATAATTCACTCAAGTCCTTTGCCACTTTGTAACAAGGATGACCTTTACTCCAGTTTCCAATTCTTGTTCCTCATTTCCATCTGAGATCTCATCAGAATAGCCTCTAGTGTCCATCTTTCTCCCAGATTCTTATCATGATCATCTAAATAAACTGTAAGAAGATTCAGACTTTCCCTACAGCTATTCTTTTCTTCCGAGCCCTGACCAGAATCACCCTTAATGCACTGTTCATGGTATTACTGTAGTCTTTTCCTATCTGTGGATTTACTTTCCACAATTTCAGTACTCATGGTCAACCATGGTCCTAAAACATTTAATGAAACATTTCAGAAATAAACAATTTGTAACTTTTAAATTGCATGCCATCCTGAGTTGTATGATGAAATATCATCAATCTTGCTCTGTCTTGCCTGGGACAAATATCCCTGTGACCACACTGTATACATGACCCATCTTTTAACCCCAGAATAATTGTCTTAGTTACCAGACTGTTGCAGTATTGCAGTGTTTGTATTCAAATAACCCTCATTTTACTTAATAATTGCCCCAGAGTGCAGGCTAGACTAATTTGGTTGGCTTGGACTTTAAAAAATAATATCACTTAATGCTATTCAGTGATAAAAAATAGTAAAATCATGTCTTTTTCAGCAACATGGATGGAACTGGAGGTCATTATCTTAAATGAAATAAATCAGACACAGAAAGACAAATATCACATGTTCTCACACGTGGGAGCTACATAATGTGTACACGTGGATATGGAGAGTGGAATGATAGACCATGGACACTCAGAAACCTTAGAGGGTGAGAGAGGGGTTGACAATGAGAAATTACTTAATGGGTACAATTTATGTTACTCAGCTGATGGATACCCTAAAAGCCTTGACTTGCCAACTATGCAATCTATGCATGTAACAAAGTTGCACTTTTACCTCAAAACTTAAAAAATAAAATAAAATAATAAAGTGAGTTAGTTTGTCCCCAGTACATGTAATCATAATTAAGCATCACAGCTAAAGAATGCTTCTAAGTAATAATATGATTCACTTGCAATTAGCACAAAGTACATGCTGGGTTAAATACATCTTCTATAATTACATTTACCTTCCCAATTTGCCCATGAATTTTTTGGAAGATGTCAATTTTCTCTGCCTATGTCCTGAATGATATTGCCTAGGTTTTCTTCTAGGGTTTTTATGGTTTTAGGTTTAAGTCTTTAATCCATCTTGAGTTAATTTTTGTATAAAGTGTAAGGAAGGGGTCTAGTTTCAGTTTTCTGCATATGGCCAGCCAGTTTTCCCAACACCATTTATTAAGTAGGAAATCCTTTCCCCATTGCTCATTTTTGTCAGGTTTGTCAAAGATGAGATGGCTGTAGATGTGTGATGTTATTTCTGACGCCTCTGTTCTGTTCCATTGGTCTATGTATATCTGTTTTGGTACCATTACTCTGCTGTTTTGGTTACTGTAGCCTTGTCGTATAGTTTAAAGTCAGGTAACAGAATGCCTTCAG